CTGGCTTATTTCACTGAGCAGCACGTCCCCAGGGTCCATCCACATTGTAGCTGTGTCAGGACTTCCCCCTTTTATGGCTGAATAATGCTCCACTGTGTGGATGGCCCACATGTCGCGTGTCCACTCATCCGTCGATGGACACTGGGTTGCCTGCTTGGCTATGTCAGTAACCACTATGGACACAGGTGTGCAAATATCTCTTTGAAAACCTGCTGTCAGTTCTTTTGGGGACACACCCAGAAGTTATGAGAATGATTTTACACTGTGAAAAACCCCTTTAAAATGTGCTGATGGTTTTAGACAGGCGCCCCCTCCCCCACCCCAGCCCCCAGTGAGGATGCTCTGGTCCTGGGGTCAGGGGACTGGCCTGTGCCCTGGCTCTGGTGCCCTGGGGAGCGTCGGTGAGAGACGTCTGGATGGCGGTGCACTCGGGCCCTGTGCTGCCCTCTCCCTAGAGGCTGACAGGACAGCGATGGGTGACTTTTCTTCCTCCTAATGTAGGCAAGTGGCCTGGCAGCTCCCTGTCCCATGGATGGCGGTGCTTGGCGCAGTGGCCTTCGGGCAGAGGAGGGGGGATTCCTGAGTAGCATCAGCTGCTCCCTGACCCCGGGGCACCCAGGCTGCTGGGAGCCATGAGGGACACAGACATGCTTGTCTCTGGGGAACAGCACCAACAGAGTCCCTCAGGGCTATTGGGGTCAGGGTGAGGAGGACCAAGGAAACTGGCCCACCCTGGGGGGGATCTGGGTCAGCAGATCTGCCTGGAGTCTGTGAACACTCCCAGCGCCAAAATTACTGGCAGATTAGTGGGCATGTGGTGGGGGTGGGCGAGGGGCGGCGTGCTGTGGCCTCCCTTGGGTTTCCTGAAGGCATCTGGGGCCAGGGAGGTGGGCGTGGGACCGTCGGGTGGGGGAGGGGGCTGAGCGGCCTTTGCATTTCTGGCACAGGAGGAGGGAGGAGGCTGGCAGGGGCTCCCAGGAGCTGAGCTGGGCCCAGGGAGACGAGGACCCCAGGCCTGGGCAGAGAGGGGCTTGGCTGGCGGGAACCGGGGGCCTCACTGTGGATATGGGCCGCGGGAAGCTGGCCCCTCAGCCAAATCGGTGTGTCTTGGGGGCCTGGCTTCAGCGGCCAGGCCAGGTCTCAGGAAGAATTCTGTCTGCCCGGTGATTCAGATAAACACACGCAGGAAGGCTACAAATCAGGGCAGCCCCACCAGAAAACCAAATTTACTCTCCACTCCCATTCTCTCAGCTCAGAGAGCATCCCCACCCCTCTGTCCTCCGCCCCGGGGGGGTCTGGGCCGCCTCGCCCAGGGAGGCTGACCCCACCCTGGGGCATCTCCCGCGGCCCTCTCCCCCTGGCCCCCAGCAAAGCAGGAGGGGTTAGGGCACCACCCTCCTTATCAAGGAAGTTCCCGGCTTGGAGAAAACCCGTGGTCACCCTGCCCTTTCTGTCAACAGCAGCGATAAGTCCTGCTGCTGGAGGTTCCCAGCGCCTCCCTGCCAAGGTGGCCCCGCTTCCTCTTCACGGGCCAGAGGGCTTCGCCTTGTCTTTGCCCTGAAGTCGTTCTCTGTGTCATGCAACCCGTCCCAGGCTGCTGGTTTCTGCGTCGGTGATGTCAGCCATCACAGCACTGCTTGCTGGTGGGTGGCCGGCGGGGCCGCACCCCAGACCCTCACAGTGTCCCCTGCGTCCGGCGTGACTGCCGCTCATGGATGCTAATCCCCCATCAGTCAGAGACTGTGCCACGGGTCCAGGTGCCACTGGAAGAGAAGGGTGCTGCTCATTTACCTGTGTCATGGAGCAGACAGGCCCGGGGCACACTGCACTTCCAGATACGTCAAGATGTGCGAAAAGTCAAAGGAATGACGCAGCTCGGCGGCGTCACCTGCTGCAGGGTGAGAAGGCCGGGGCTACATGAGGCCTCTCAACTCACCCAAGTCTCACATGGCTGGGTGCTGCAAGGGCGGTGGGGGCCCTTCCTGGGGGCCAGACGAAGCTCAGAGGGTGCTTCCCTGATGCATCAACACGCTTGGTCCCTGGGGCAACCATCCTCTGAGCGTCCTGTCCTCTGATCACCATTTTCCAGATGAGGAGCCCAAGGCACAGAGAGGGAGGTGTGCTGGCCCAGGGCCACACAGCTGATGGGAGCCGGGGCCTGGGTGTCACCTTCTCCCAGCGTCTGGAGCCCCTGGCCCCAGGTTCAAATTCCAGCTGGCCCCTCTGCGGTCATGTACCTCCCACCTGTGTCATCCGAAAATGGGTGTAACCACAGTTCCTACCACTCATGGGTTTTTGGTTTTCCAAGGACCAGATTAAATAGCAAAGGCTCCAAACAGTGTGCCCGGCCCACCAGAGCGCCCACCGGGCTGCCACTCCTGTGTCGGAGCTGCTGGCCCTATACTCAGGGTGACTGAGACGAGGCTGGAGGGGCCTGGAGACGGCTGTCCACCCCACCATGCAGGCGGAAACAGGGGTCACCACTGATTGTCTGCTCTGAGATGCATGGCTGGTGCAGGCCCAGTGTTTCCCCAGGGGGAGCCGGTTGGAGGGCCCTGGTGTTTGTGGTGTGGGTGTTGACCTCTGGGTTGGAGATGTGCCCCAGGTGGGAGGGTGGAATTCAAGTCTCTCCCCGCTGCAGCCCCTCGAGGGCACCAGCCTCTGCGGGAGGGAGGCCTGGGTCCCAGCCACCCGGCCACTCCAGCAGGACCGTCTGGGCAGCTGTCCGGACCTCCCTGTGCTCACGTCCTGGCCCTGGAGGGGAGAAGGCCGTCCCCACGCAGTCTGGCATGGGAAGGGCCATGAAGCTGCCCGCTGACCCAGGATAGAGCACCCGCCCTGCAGCCTGCCAGCTCGGCTGCCCAGCTCCCTCAGCCACAGCAGAGTGACCCTGTAGCCCTGGGGTTCGCCTGCCCGGACCTCGGCCGTGCCTAGAAGCTGGAATGGAAATGGCAGGTGTCAGGGAGGAGTCCCAGTGCTGGGCGGGCAGTGCTGAAGCTAGTGTCCCCTGCCTTGGTCACCGTGGCCAGTGACAGCTGGAGGCCGGGCCAGGCCAGGGTCAGGATCAGGTTTGGGGGTCAGGCAGCCATGTTCCTGGTGGCTCAGGGTCCTAAGGGACCTGGGGCTGCTTCTCTGTCACGTCACACACCTGGGGAGAGAGCTGTGAGGAGCATGCTGCCCTGGGGACCAGGGCACTCCCCCACCCCACGAGGAAATTTCTGGACTCACAGTCCCGCCTGCGGGGCCCTCCCTGCTCACGGCTGGATCCTGGGTTGAAGGGCGTTTGGTCCTCAATGTTGACGACAAACAGGGGCTATCTGATGCCCACTTCCTGTCCCAGATCAGAGCTGCTGGGTGAGTCAGCGGCCGGGCGATAGCTGGGAAAGCACGAGAGGCCAAGGCCTGCGTCCCGTCCCCACGGCCTCCGCTGGTGTCCAGCCGCCACGGCCACGCCGCGCAGCTCCCGCCAAAGCTGGGCCCGACCCTCTGTCCAAACGAGCCCCACCTCTCCAACTCTGGTAAACCCACTGGTTTATCAGGTGTGGGCAAGGGGCTGGCTGCAGCCCATGCGCAGGCCGTGTGGCCCCTGGGGACCCCAGGGGAGCAAAGGCTTCTGGGGCCGCCACCCTGGGCCCGCATGTCCCCGTTTGTGGCTCTGGCTCCCTGTGCAGAGCACCTTCCTAAGCCCCGGCCCCGTACCCTTCTTCTGCAGAGTTTTCATGGACCCACTTCTCAGATGAGGAAACTGGCGGAGGCAGCCTTGCCCTTCCCATGGGCTGCCCCCCACTCAACACGAAGCCCCCTGAGAGCGGGAGGGGAGAGTCACAGCAGGCTGCTGTAAGGGACCCCCTCTAGCCCCCGACACCTCCACAGCCCCCTCTAGGCTCGTGGAGGTCCCAGGGAGTAACAAGCCGACGTTCGAGGCTGGGTCACTGGCCCCACACCCGCCCCGACTCCAGACACCCTCCCCATGGTCCCTCTTACGGGGCTTCCCCTGACAAGAGACGGTACCCCCAGGGCAGGGTGTGCCCCCCTCAAGGCCAGGCTGCTGGCGCAGGTGGGTCAGGAGGCGTGGGGTGGGCTCAGGTCTAGGCCCCGTGCCGGGAGCAGACACTGGTTAACCTGCCGCCTCCCTGCCTTCCTGGGGGTGTGAGGAGGGCTGGCCCACGTCACTCAGGCTCTCCTTCGCCTGGGTCCCGGCCTGAGCGGCAGACCCTCGAGCCTCCCCCTGGCACTGATTCCCGATGCCCGCTCTCACAAGCACTAAGGCCACATGGCCTTTGGAGCCAGACCTGTCCCCTCAGCCTGCCCCGGGGCCCCGCCCTACTCAGCACCAGGGGCCTTGCTGTCCAGCTCTAGGGCCCAGCAGCTGTGCTGGGAGGGGGAGGACGTGGAGAGCCAGCCTGCGGAGGGGAGGGCTGCCTACCCCCGAGCCCAGGCCCTGCCCTGCAGCGAAGTCACCCTCATTCTCTCCCCTGCTCATTCACCCCCCACCCATTCACTCCCCCACCCATTCACTCCCCCATTCACTCCGGCCCTCATTCACTCACTCCTCATCCCCTGTCCCCTACACTCCTGCTGTGTGCCAGGTGCTCTTTCTCCCAGGTACCAGGGTCGGTTTGAGGCATGAGGAGTGGACGGCACTGGGGCTGAAAACCAGGTGACCAGAAGGAACTCGGGACAGGCCCCAGGAGAGCCAGAGCAAATGCTCAGATCAGCCCCAGGGCGCCCCTGTGAGCCCAGCCCCCTCCCCAGCACGGCGGGGCCCAGCCCAGCAGCCCCTGACGACTCTACTGCGAGTCCTGGGGCAGTGGGGCCCCCAGCCGTGATGGGGGCGTGGACCCCCAGGAGGAAGTTCCAGCCCCAGTGCCCCACACCCTGACAGGGTCCGAGGCTCACAGACCTGGAGTCTGCAGCCCTGTGTCCAATGCACTCTGGGGCTTTGCCAGCTGGAGCCCACTGGGGCCAAGACCACTGGAACAGTTTTTGGGCTGGTCCATTTGGCATCTCCCCAGCTCGGTGGCTGCAGCCAGCCCTGCCTCTCAAGGCCCCGGGCACACGTGTGACTCAAGCTGCCCTGGGGCTGCCCACTGCCCACCTGGGGCCAGAGGCTTGAAGCCCAGCCAGGGTCCCAGGCAGTGCTGGACTGGGGGCTGCGCTGCGGGGAGGCGCCCTGTCACTAAGGGTGCCGCCCCCGAGCCCTACCCCGGCCAGGGTGAGGCCAGCCCCTGCAGTAGCCTCTCTGGCCACCAGGAACTCAGGGGTCCGGCGGCACGGAAGTGCACCCGGGGAAGGTCCCAGGGCAAGGGCATATCAAGAGGATGCCTGAAGGCCGGGACTTGGGGATCCTCAGGCCACCCCGTCCCACTGGGAAGACACGCCCATCTCTGCCTGTCATCAGCTGCCGGCCAGCCCAAAGTGAGTGTCCACTGTTTACCTGGGCGAGGGGAACCACAGCCCCTGCCCCGCCCTCCCACGTGAAGCTGCCGGGGCTGGAGCCAGCTCTGGGACTACAAAAGGCTGCTGGCGGCTCCGAGCCCTCCTCAGAGGCTGCCCTGGGCTTCCCGCCTCACACACCATGGGTGTCGGCCGGAGGAGGCTGGCCGCGCTCTGGGCACTGGCTCTGGCCGTGGCCTGCACCCAGCACACAGGTGAGGCTCACGCCGGCTCTCCCGGGCCGGCCCGGACCGTGGCCTGGAGACCCTGGGGCTCCCTGAAGTCCTAGGTTGGCCCCGGTCTTGGGGGGAGCGGGCGGCTTAGAGGCCTTGTCCTGGGCTCTGGTCAAGCCGTGACTGGCTCTTCCAGCTCGGCCCCTGCCCCAGCAGGTTCCAGCTTGTGGGGTCGGGGAGGGGCCTTTGGGGGCTGCAGGGGTCCCCGTGGGGGTTAGGGGCTTCTGAGGCCGGGCTGCTCCCCCGAGCTGGGTCTGGTCCCCGTGTGCTTCTCTGCTGCTCACTGCCCTCTGCACCCTGCCACCCTGAGCAGACCCTCGGCCCTCTGAGTGTCCCACCAGCCCCTGGGACCACCCCTCCAACACCCCGTTTACCAGCTCACTTTCCCTGTGGGGGCCTCCGTGAGGGGCTCCTGGGGCCTCAGCCTTGGGTGGAGGGAGTAACGGTGAGGCTCGCAGGGCGATGGGGGTGATGGGGGCGGCCTATGGTCCCCGTGGCCCTCTGAGGCCCCCTCCTACTTGGGCCTGCACCTCCCAGCCTCTGCTCCCCAGGAGAGGGCCGGCCCCGGACTGGGGTTGGGTGGCTCCCAGGCTTGAACATCAGGGCAGGCCCCGAGCACTCGGCAGCTTGGGGACCATGACGTGGTCTGCCAAGGTCCCCATGGCCCCATGTGGCTCCCACATGACGACCCCCAGCCTCCCCCTGCTCCTGGACAGTCCCAGAACCAGGAGGCTCTCCCTCTGGCCCCCTGGGTGTCCCCTTGGCTTCAGGGATGAGGCCAGGTTCTCCCTGGGCGGGGGGGAGGGGGATGGAACACCTATGAGTGAAGATCGGCTCCCCCTCCTCCCCCTCCTCCAGAGGAGGGTCTGGTCCTCCCCTGCAGGGCCTGGGGCTGGGCTGGGCGCCGTCTGGCCAGCTCTGGTGGCATTTTGCACCTTTGGAAAGGCCTCTGAGGACCCCAGAATTCAGCTTCCTTTGGTGGCCTCCACCGCGCTGAGCCCCTCCCCGTGGCCCAGAGCACCCCATTTCGGGAGCAGCTTTGTCCCCACTCTTGGTCCCAGGTCCCTATCCTGCTCGGAGTTTCCCACCAGAGCCCTGGCTCTCTTTGGACAAGTGGCGTCCTCGACTCTCTGCTCCCTCGGGGGGCCAGCTGCTGCCCAGGGCGGTGCCGCCTTCTGTCCCTCCACGTGCCCGGCAAGGGCCCAGGGCCCAGCCCGGGTGGACGCTCAGTGAGCACGAACGAGCAGTGAATGAAGGAAGGGCCCCAGAGAAACCCGCTCAGGGCCCAGGACGCCCCAAGTGCTCACGGGGTCCGCCTGCGGGGGTGGTCAAGGGAGTTTGGCTCAGCGGAGAGCCGGGGCAAACTCAGATGTGTGTGTGCGTGGATGAGATGCCCCAGCACCCCAGTCGGCGCAGAGAGCCCCACTGTCCCTCTGTGCACTCCCTCTGAGGCGACGTAACTGCCCTTTGGCCGGCTCCAGCCCAGCGCCCTCTCCTCTTCCCGCAGGCCAGGCCCACGACGGCTCTGAGAACCGGGACCTCCCTCGTGCCCGCCACGGGCCTGGCGGTGAGTCTCCTCCCCACGTGTCAGAGCCCCCGCCCCGGCCCACAGAGAGCCCTTGAGGGGTCACCGCTTTGGGTGCCTCCCAATAGCTATCATCTGGGGGGTCAGAACTTGGGGGACATGGGGCCCGTCGGTCGCCTGGCGGCCCCCTGCAGGCTGCTTGCTGTCTCCCCACCGAGGCTGCCGGCAGAGCTCACAGCGAGTCCTCCTCGCTCCCCCGTTAGCTCCTGATGCTTCCTGAGAGGCCAGCTGGGCGAGGCACAGCCCCGCATGGCCGCCAGACGCCCTGAACAAGGGGAGGCCTCGGGGACAGACCCAGCCAGTCTCACTTTGCATTTCCCCAAAGGGGCTCACCTGTGCCTGATCTTGGCACCCAAGGGCTTGTCTGGAGCTGCTGACGCTGATTCAGACATTTTTAAGACTTCGGGAGCAAGGAACCCCCAGCGCAAAGAGTGCTCCGGGCCACGGGGGTGTGAGAGCGCCAGCCGCCAGGGTCCCCCACTGCATGGGCTGCACAGGCCTCCACGGCTCTGCGTTCACACTGGCAGGGAGGTGGCTCACGCGGCAGAATCCGGAGCTGCCTGGGGACCCAGCAGTCTTGGAACGGCCAATCCAAGGCGTCGGGCGTGGGGCCGACCTGTGCGTGGGCGGTAGGGTTGGGGCTGTGCATCACTGCACCCCTGTTTCCACAGGAGACCCCCTCGGCATGGTGACTGTCCACCCGCCTCTGAGGACCACCCCCGTGGTGCGAGGTGAGACCACGCGAGGCTGGGCGGGGGGGCCTGTGCTGGCAGAGCTCTCTCTCCGTCAGACCTCAGGGCCGGCAGGGGGGCAGCTTTCTGGGTGGACAAGGGCCTGAGTTCCAGGACGGCCGGGGCTCTGGGGTGTCCTGGGCCACGGGCAGCAGGGTGTCCCAGACTCGGGCGCCCCTAGAAAGGCCCTGCTTTGTTTGACCCGCAGCCCTGAATGCGGCGCACGGCGGGCGGGTGTGCAGCACCTGGGGCGACTTCCACTACAAGACCTTCGACGGCGATGTCTTCCGCTTCCCCGGCCTGTGCAACTACGTGTTCTCCGCACACTGTGGGGCCTCCTACGAGGACTTCAACATCCAGCTCCGCCGCGGCCCAGGGCCCAATGACACCGCGCCCAGCAGGGTCACCATGAAGCTGGACGGCCTGGTGGTCGAGCTGAGCAAGAGCTCTGTCCTGGTCAACGGCCGCCCGTGAGTCTGCGCCTGGGGTGGGAGGGCGCTTCTGGGCGGTCGGGGGAGGGGCTTGGGGTTGTCCCTGAGAGGGTGGGGCGTGGTGCCCCCGGCCCCTGTGCTCAGCCACCTGCCCCCACGGGGGCCAGACTCTCACCCACCGCGTGCCCGCTGGCGTCGTCTATGGGCATGGTGACCGCATCACGAGTGTGACTGAGGGGCCCTCCCTGCCTGGGGTCCTGACTTTGTTGTCCATCCTCTGGTGCCCTCGGAGCCTCAGCGGGGCCCTCTCTCCACAGGGTCCAGCTGCCCTTCGGCCAGTCGGGTGTCCTCATTGACCAGAGCAGCAGCTACGTGAAGGTGGCAGCCAGGCTGGGCCTGGTCTTCATGTGGAACCTGGACGACAGCCTCCTGGTGAGGCCAGGGACGGGGGGCAGGGGGCGGGGGACGGGAGCACACCTCCAGCGCGGCAGCTTCCCCTGGGAGGGGAGGCCACGACCCACCCCCACGGTGGCAGTGAGGGTGGGGCCCCAGATGCTAACGGAGCCCCAGGGTCCACATCCCCAGATGGAGACCCTGCGTCTGTGGGGCTTATCCTCCAAGATGACCCTGCTTGGGTTCATACCTTTGTGGAGCCGGGGGGGGTCCTCTGTGGGGCGCCCCAGCCCCTCTCTCCTTGGGACCCTCTTCCGTCCCTGCGCATCCTTGCCCTGCTGGAGTCTGACTCATGCTCTTATTGTAGCTGGAGCTGGACGCCAAGTACGCCAACCAGACCTGTGGGCTCTGCGGAGACTTCAATGGCGTCCCAGTCGTCAACGAGCTCTTCTCCCACAGTAAGCCCTGCGGCGCGCCGCCCCGCCTGCCCCAGGCTCCCTCTGCAGCGCTCCTGGAAGGCTGCCTTCCAGGACCCCAAGCCAAACGGCCGAATCCTAACACACGTGCACGCACCCGCACACTCGCGGTCTAGCATGCACACCCACACACGCACACACAGGTACACA